CACTTGGTCCCAAAGGAGGACCACGTAATGCCCCACAACCGCAGGTCTATGAACCACCACCTAGGTGCCACTGATCAACCCTGGAAGCCCTTCAGTCAACCATGCCAGCCAGCTGACCTGGCCACAAAATGGCGGATTTGCAGGCAGGGGGCGCCATTTTGTTTGTATCAAGGGCACAACTCCCCCCCCCCCTACTTACATACAAACTTATAAATGCAAATTTCTCCACAATTAGGTGACCATGCAATCTGGTCACCTCATATCAAGAGACTCCCTGCACCTCAGGGAATCACCAGGATCAGCAGATATGACTCTTAATGCCGGATTTGGAGAGCAATAGAAGGGACTCCGTAACACTGCTCATCCATCCACCCACCCACCTGTTCACCCACTTCCCTGCCCACTCACCCACTTGTTAACCTACCTGCCTGCCTGCTCCCCCGCCCACCTGCCTGATAGCCCACCCCACCCACCTGTTCACCCACCCACCCAACGGAACGAGTTAGCATCGACCGTCCATTCTGTGGACAGAGGAACGAACCGAGACAGGTTGTCCACCTGGACGTTGGATACCCACCGAATGAGAACTACCAGGAGAGCCAAACCCCGAGAACTCAGCAGACGGACGAGTCACCCGAAGCAACCAGCCCCAAAGAGCTAAGAACTGCATCGAACCCCCTTGGTTCAAACACTGAACCACCAGGGTACAGTCCGAATGGAGCCCGATTGTCGATCCGCGGGCAACCCAACCCATCTGAAGAGAAAACCACACTGCCGCGAACTCCCGCACCATGCTGTGGGTCGGCGGGCAGATGGTAGGTAGACCATCACGGCACAGTTCAGGCTCTTGCACAAACCCTCGAGTAACTGTCGAGTGACCCGGAAGCCCTCCAGAAAACGGCAAAGGCGGGACCACAGGCGAAGCAGAGATACCAGAGGAAGAGACAAGGAAGCAGCCCGAGAGTTCTAAACAGGACCTAGCCAAGTCCGAACCTGAGAGGGAACCAGATGGGACTTCCTCCAGTTCACCAAGAACCCAAACCCGGCAAGCTGGGAAAGAACCAAATTCCTGGCGAGCAGACAAGCGGACTGGCTGGGAGCCCATATCAGCCAGTTGTCGAGGTAGGCCAACACCCAAAACCTAAGAGACGCAGACGAGCCACCATGACCCAGTTAAGGTGTGTGAAAATGCGAGGTGCCAAGTTCAACCCGAACGGGAGACAACGAAAGCGGTAACCAATGCACCCCACAACAAAACCGAGCCAGTCCCTGAACCCCGGATGAATCGGGATGTGCCAATACGCATCCCAGAGGTCTAGGGACAGCATCCAAGAGCCCGGCTCTCCAACAGCAGCCGGACCTGGAACAGTAGTCATCCGGAAGGAGGGGCAATGAACCCAGGGGTTCAGATGGGACAAGTCCAGAATAAACCTCAGGTCTGCATAATGGGAACAGATGGGAAACCCATCCGAGAGATGTCGTTTTGACCACGCCCATGCAAACCCACTCCAAGACGACCTAACAAAGTGCAGGAGAAGAGGCCAGCCCCGCTAGCCCAGAGCCCCCCCCCCCAAAGGAGGAACACCCAACAAATGCCACCGCAGGCTGTCGGAAACGACCCAAAAAGCCCACAAATCATCGGACCAGGTGTGATTGAACATAGAAAGCCTCCCCTCCATCGCCCCATCATTGTGATTAACCGCGAAAGGGCCAGCGCCTCCCGACAAGAACCCAAGCTCCGCACAGAACACTGCACTGACCAGACGAAGACTCTTTCGAAGGCAGTGCCAGCTCCTAAATTGGCACCATTGGTCTACCCCGACAAGAACTCAATACACATGACTGATGCCAAAGTCTAACATATGCAATATCAGCCTGGATAGCTCCGGGGAGCCGACGGGGCTTCCCCCGAAATAGAATCAATATAGGAAGAGGCTAAACCCCCAAACATACCAGCGATACAAAGATGCGAGAAACAACTACAAGACAGTGAGGCAGAGAGAAATTTTGAAAAAGGTCTAGCAAACAGATGTAAAACAGAACCAGGCTTATTCTATGTTATAAACAACAAAATTGCAGGTAAAGTATAAAATTCAGAGGCTGGAAATAGGAAATAGATTCACGGAAAATGGAAAGAAATATGTGAAATATTAAACGAAAAATTCCAAAGTGTGTTTGTACAAAATGAAATCTTCAGGGAACCAGACAATAAAAATTCCAGAGAACAACATAGTGCACATTGAGGTGTCTGGAGACGAATTGGAGAAAATGCTCAAGGAGCAAAGAAAGAACAAAGCAGTTGGTCCATTTGGAGTTTCACCAGGAGTTCTAAGAGAATGGGTACTTGAGCTCAGCATTCCACTTCAATTGATTTTCCTGGCATCACTGTGTACAAGAGTTTAAGTAGATGTGGAAAAAGGCTAACAGTTCCAATTTAAAAAAAGTGGCAGCAGGGAAGACCCCCCCCCCCTCAATTATAGACCTGTATCATTGACAAGTGTAATAGTCAAAATATTGGAGAAAATAATTAAAACTAAATGTGTAGAACACCTTGAGAAAAACTATATAATATTAGACAGACAGTATGGCGCTCTATCTGGAAGATCCTGTGTAATGAATTTACTCAGTTTCTATGATCGCGCCAGAGATTTTACAGGAAAAAGATGGTTGGGTTGACTGCATTTATCTGGACCTAAAAAAGCTTATGACAGAGTTCCACATAAGAGGTGGTTCTGGAAACTGGAACATATTGGAGGGGTGACACGTAAGCTTCTAGCATGGATGAAAAATTTTAATAGAAAAATAAGGGCAGTAATCAGAGGCAATGTATTGGACTGGAAAAATGTCAAGTGGAGTACCATAGGGTTCAGTTCTTGCACCAGTAATGTTCATTGTCTACATAAACAATCTACCAGATTGAACACGGAATTATATGAACATGTTTACTGATGATGCCAAGATAAGAAACTTAGATGATTGCCATATCCTTCAAGAAGTCCTGGACAAAATAAGTATATGGAGCACCACTTGGCAAATGAAATTTAATGTGAATCAATGCCATGTTATGGAATGTGGAATAGGAGAACATAGACCCCACACAATCTATAAATTATGTGAGAAATCGTTAAAAAACTCTGATAAAGAGAGAGATCTAGGAATGGTTCTAGACAGAAATCTATCACTTGAGTACTACATTAAGATCATTGTGTGTGGAGCCTATGCTACACTTTTTAACTTCAGAATTGCTTTTAAATATATTGATGGAGAAATACTAAAGAAATTGTTCACGACTTTTGTTAGACCAAAGCTGGAATGTGTAGCAGTTGTATGGTGCCCATATCTTAAGAGGCACATCAACAAACTGGAAAAGGTGCAAAGACGTGCCACTAAGTGGCTCCCAGAACTGAAGGAAAAGAGCTACGAGGAAAGGTTAGAGGCATTCAGTATGCAAAAACTAGAAGAAAAAGAGGCTATATGATTACTATGTACAAGATGGTAACAGGAATTGATAAAAAAGATAGGGAAGAATTCCTGAGACCTGGAACTTCAAGAACAAGAGGTCACAGATTTAAACTAACGAAACAAAGCTGCCGGAGAAATATAAGAAATTCACTTTTGTAAACAGAGTGGTAGACGGTTAGAACAAGTTAGGTGAGGTGGTGGTGGAGGCCAAGACCATCAGAAGTTTCAAAGCGTTATATGACAAAGGAGTGCTGAGAAAACAGGACACCACGAGCGTAGCTCTCATCTTGTAACTACACTTAGGTAATTACGGTTTTGTTGTAAGGAAACGATTCTGTTTGGAGAAATATACTAGTGTGTATAGCTCTTGAATTTAGAATTCTTACCAGTGCAGTGGCTAAATCATCAGAAACAAGTGTAAACATCAATGCAATGAAGATCTCAAGTATATTCAGTGATTGAAAATATGAAGTCTTAAGTCTGGAACTTCATATGACAGAAATTAACTATTTGGGGATACGATTTTGTATGAAATGCTGTTGAAACACAGGTCAGTGCACAGAGAAATATGCTGACAGACTCTTTCACTCAGGTGGCAGCAACAGCAGAGACTAGCCAATGTCAGTGTGGCGTTCGTCAGTTTTTAACAATTACACAAGTGCCTAGGACTTGCTTTTGCAGTGTAGAGTGGTCTTGGTGTGATGTTAGTTTAGGTGTAGGATTTATATATATGTATAAGTTGTGTACATGTTCCTGTGTTTGGCCGTTTTAAGTGTTTGGTTTTGTTCATCCCAGTGTGGGTATTGCAGAGCACATGTTCTGTGTTCTACAAGTCATGATCCCTATTAATCAGGTGTTTAAGTGTCAAGTCTTTGTTATAATTAATATCTAAATATTGAATTATGAGGAGAGTGAAAGGAGTAAAGTAACAACTTTAAGTCCCAATTTTAGTGCAACCAATAGAAATTATCATAAGTGATCCTGTTTAGTACTGTACCTGTAAATCCCTGAGATATCCTTGTAAAGTAACGTTAAGCCAGTAAATAAAGCCCATTTGTAGAAAGAAGACCATTGTGTGATTATTGTCCAAACTAGGCTAAGATAAACTTGTCCTCTCCTATTTTTTCTAAGAGTAAGGAAATGTTTCAATAGCTTGTACTCTAGGGTGCAGCTTAGAAGCTTGTGCCCTTACACTGTTTGGTCGATTCCGTTCCATCAGTACCAGAATGTCAGATTTCTAGACTGTTCATAATCCTATCCTACTGCCTTGATGAACCGTAATTCGTGCCAGAACCCTCTCCCCTCCCCCCCCCCCACACACACACACAAACGTAAACTAATGAGTGCCATATGTTACTTGGATATTATTTATGTTTTAATGTCATAATGAGTCAAATTTGCATTGTGTATTTGCTGGGAACCAAGTCGGTTATCTGAGAAAAGCTAATAGTTTCCTTTATCCGACCAATTCATTCTATTTCTCTTTACATAATTCACTCAAACAAATTAATAAACTGATTTAATAAATATCAGCTTACCTTTTCACGGCAAAGAATTACTTTTCCGAATGTTCCTCTCCCCAGCACTTTGATGAACTCAAAGTTCTCTAATGTCTGTAAGAGAAATTTTATGAATGAAGTAGCATATACCTTAAAAAAACTACTATAATATCAAAATTGTCCTCTCACCTGTGAAAAAAACCCAGTGTTGAATGTAATGAAATGCCATTTTCTGAGTAAGACCCAGTGGCTCCCCAGAGGTATCCAGGCTGATATGCTAATATTAGACTTTGGCATCAGTCAGTGTGAAAGGAGTTCACAGGCTTACCGCGGACTACGAGCCATAAACTGGCCCCCTCAGAGGAACAAGGAGCAATGGCCAAGAAACTTGCTTCCAACCACTTGGGAGGTTTCAACAGACCATTCCTTCTCGTGCTTCTGAGGGGGGGGGGGCAGGTTCTGGCTTGTAGTCCCCGGTAGGTCTATGAACTTCCTTCACACTGACTATGCCAACGTCTAATATTAGCACATCAGCCTGGTTAGCTCCGGGGACCCGAGGGGGGGCCTCCCCCCAGAAACCCCAGTGTTGAACGTAATGAAACGCCATTTTCTGGGCAAAGGCTTCCTGAAGTCATCTGAACTGATATAGTGCTTTATTAGTTTGGGTCATCAGTCACACAAGTTGATGCCCACTGGGAACCACGAGCAGACCCTGGCCCCCTCAGAGGCGCAGGGAGCAATGGCATACGAGCACTTTACATTTAAAGTATGTCATATTTCGGGGTGGGCATCTAGAGAGATAGGTGTACAAAACAAACAGCTATCCGGTAGTCCAACAGAAAGAAAAACTAGCAACCCTGAACTCAATTAGTACTCACGCTCATTAGTGTATACACCCCTCTTCCACTCCCGAAAAGGGGTTAGGGGAACGGGATGCCCACCACCCTAGTTCTTGACATGATGTAAAAACTGCCAACCAGAGGGAGAAAGGGGTGTCGGGGAGCCCCCGGGGCTTCATACAGAAGATAGTTTCATTACATTCAACGCTTGTTTTCTGGGAGAGCCCTATTGGCTTCCTGAAGCTAACTACCCACTGATAAGATAACTCAGGGACTTACCTATGAGGCAGTAGCTCCGCAGGGCCCAAGTCGAAGAAGAGATCTACGGCCGCGACAGATGCCCCAAAGCCACACAAGGCCAGAGAGGTCCCAGAACATTCACTAGTTATCTGGCAGCCAGGACCCTGTTCGACCTCCAAGACCCTCCCACCCGAATGGGAACCCAAAACATGTTCTCAAAAATCGTATTGCTTCCATACTTTTTGTGTACGAGCACCGCTTACTTCTGTAAGTCATAGGCACGAGGGGTAGACCGCAGGCTGGGTGGACTTTATGACACTGCAGACAACCTGGAAGTCACTAACCCAGAAACTGGGAACCAGAGAAACTGGATCCACCCAAATAGTGTTCACCATCACTGAACCAGTGGCCCACAGGTAGCGGCGTAAAGTCGCCACCAGACAACACATGATGCATCCCCGACCTAGCCAGCCAAGCATCCACCACCACCGGAGCCCTTCGGAAGCCTGCCATCCCATTCCTCACCAGAATAGAAGGAGAAGGCTGCAACTTAACAAAACGACCACCTGGACCAAAGGAACAAAACACCCGGCATTGGAGGAGAGATTTCAAATTTCTAGGAGCATTTTTCATATACATAATGAATGTTTCTTAGAGGTAACGCAGTCGTTAAATAATGTACGACATATCAGGTGTGGGCTATGTATGCTGGGTAAAGTGGTGAGATGATGCGAGCTTCCTTTATAACCGCCAACGTAGTGTGAGCAATTTTTTGTAAGTTTGTGATAGCAGACTATAATAACTTAGCTTTGTTTAATTTTTATTATTAGTAGCACAATTTACTGTAATAATTTGACTCGTTTTCAATATTTTATTATTAGCAACGCTTTCTGTGCCTAGTGAACTTAGCCCGTATGCTCGTCTGGCTCCCTAGCCTATGGCCCTATTCTCACATCCGTTATATGACCGCATTAAACAGGGCAATTTCTTGAAGCATTTCAAAATAAAAAAAGTGTCTTATAAGTTGGTATTTTATGCAAACCCACAGAGGTAGGATATCTTTAGACTGGAATTGTACTAAAGTATGTTCAAATGTAGCCTAAACTATTTAGCTACTTATTAGGTAGTTTAATTTCTAACTAGTACTGTGTTTGACAGTACTGGTGCATTATTATTTAAATGTTGTGCAAACTCTAAATATGGTAAATTTATTACTTTACACAATTGTGTACCTATATTTTATTTCTTATTGTATTCACCTTTGAGTGCTACTAAGTGTCACTATACCAACCTAAGGTGATTATGAGGAGCTAGCCCCAAGGTATAACGTATTGGCACTCATCACTCAAATCTTAGCTATTTACTATTAGATAGGTATGCTAACCTCCATACGAGGTAAATAAAATCAGCCTAACCAAGAAATTAAATATTAGGCTATTAACAACCATTCCTGCTCCACATATACGAGGAAGTACCATAGCTGTCAAACAGCTATATAAGTCCTATAATGCTTCAACCCATAGCCAACATGGCTACACCAGGAAAAACTAGAATAATTTTGAAAGGCCTTCAAAGTCACTTGACAAAGCTAATCAACCAATGTGCCAGCTGGGTAGAAGTAGACCCAGTTGATCTCATCTCCCTTGAATTCTCAGCAAAGATAGCTAACCAGAAATTCAAACAAAAAGGAGATTATTGTGCTGTACATAAGTACACTTCATGTCAGTAACACTGACCCAGATGAAATAGATCTAATTATGTCTGACCTTGCCAACTATGAAGACAAAATTCAGGCCAGGTTAAATTACTATAGTAAGATGCTTGCAACAGCAAATGTTCCTGTTGGATTGGATCACTTTTATAGTATACCTATACCAAAGCAAGCAACCAGCTCATCAGATGAAATAAATGAGGATACTGAGGATACTCCTCAAAAAAAAGATGAAGATACTCCTCTAATCAAGTCTGACCCTTACACAGGATCAATAATTGAAGTTAAACCTTCCTTTTCTACTGTTTCCTCTAATTCAGTTTCACCCAATGACTCATTAACAGAATCTGAACAGTTTTCAGATATTACATCCATATGTTCCATGGATTCTGAGAATTTAATACATGAGGCTATTGAATTAACAGCCCTCCTAGATGAACCTCGAGAAATAAGAGAAGCTGCAATAGATAGTGAAGCTGAAACAGAAGATGAAGATGCAGCTGAAGCTGATATTAAAGCTGAAGCTGAAATTGAAGTCGAGGCTAAGCAAGAAGCTTTAAATCAAGTCATCGATAGTTTTACCCACTCAAACCAGCCTCCTAGAAGTAATGCTGAATATGTTAGCAACAATCAAGCTATCCAGCTCTCTAGAGAAAGTGCTGATAAAGAGAAAGCTATCATAAGTCTAGTACACCAACTATTGGACTTAACAAGATCAATCAGTTGACTCCTTACAAACATTTATTTTAAAACTCGAGTCACTTAAAATCATTCAGTAATGAACTGGATCAACCCACTGCCGAGTGGATGACTAAAATTGTCATCCAAAGAAAATTGTCTAGTGAAGTGCTAAAAGAATTTTATTCATATCATAATACTGTAATGACAATGCAGGATATATTAGCAAGTGTGCATAATGTAATAAATAATAAACAAGCTAACCAGGCACTTAATGCCAATACTAAATCAACAGAAACTGTACCCACATCTAATTCCTTAATTAAAACGCCTAAAGTTACGGTCATTAGGTGATATGGGTACTAATGGATAATAATCAATGCAATACTAATAGGTCAAGTAAGTAATTATCAAAAGAAGGCACCAAACCGGGAAGGCTATGTAGCACCATCAAATGCGCAAAATAATCAGAGGGGCTAAATATCACCAAGGATGCCAATACGAGAACAAAAACGCTTAAGGCGAACGATATCAAAAGTATCCGAGTCACCAAGAATTCTATTGAGGGACAGGTGACCGCCAAGGGCGGTCGGAAAGCAAGACACACGCTCGTCCTGGAAGTCAGGACATTCAAGAAGGACATGCACGACCGTAAGAGGGACAATGCAACTAGGACAATAAGGAGCAGGGCGACGCTCCAAGTGACCATGGGTTAAGCGAGTATGGCCAATATGCAACCTCGCCAGAGCTGTTTCCCACCGCCAGTTACGGTGGAAGGAGGACGGCCACGAGGAAACACAACATTAAAGAGTACGTAGTTTGTTACCAGTAACAGACAACCAAGAAGCCTGCCAACGGGTTAGGACGGAGGAATGGATAACCGGGTAAAAGTCGGAATACGGAATACCTTTACGAGAGATGGGACAAGAGCGGACAGCTTCCTTGGCGGCAGCATCCGCACGCTCATTTAAAGACACCAATATGGCTGGGAACCCAACAAAACTCAACTGACTTAAATTTACTGTGAACAAGAAACAGCCAATGCTGGATCTCGACAACTACTGGATGAACCGGATTAAAGGACCCGAGAGCCATGAGGGCACTACGAGAGTCAACAACAACTACAAAGGAAGACTGACAACGAGAAAGCAGGAGACGAAGAGCATAGAGAATAGCATAAAGTTCCGCTGTAAAGATGCTAGTCTCCGGAGGTAAGCGACACATAAGTGCGATCAGGAAAAACAACAGTAGCCAACACTGTCCGCAGACTTAGACCCATCGGTGAAGACAGAAACGGAGCGGGAGTGAGAAGAAAAGTGCTCAAGGAAAAGGCGTTTCAGAACCGTAGGAGGAGTAAAAGCTTTAGTGATACGGGTCAAGGAAGTACAAAACCGCGGAAGAGGGACTCTCCATGGGGGCAAAGAAGGAACAACACGAGGAGAAACATTAGAAATACGAACGGAAAGAGAATCCTGGAGGCGAGATAACCGGACAGAAAGAGGGAGGTGGTGAAGAGGAACAGGAACCGCAGGAGGGGTAAAAGTTAAAGCACGACAGAGGCGAGAGGAAGGATGTTGTAAGGACCGCGCAAGATAGCAAAGACAGTAGCGATCACGGCGGTCTTGGAGAGACAGGAAGCCAGTGTC